GCGCACCGCTACCGGCAGATTATGATTAACAGTCAATCAGTATAAATAATCGTATGTAGCATCTATTTTGAGAGTTATTATTATGCATTCAATTTCAAATTTCTGTATTTTTCTGATAATTAAAATTTAAAGAAAGGGATAATTATCCGTACCGAAACGAATGGTCCAAACATAAGCAAACATTAGTAACACCAAACACGAAATCCTTAATCCCCGCAAACACCGGCCAACCTTATTTTCTGTTAAATCACAATTCATTCATAATTGTCTTTATTTTTCATACCCCCCTTTTTCATAAGTTAAAAAAACAAAAACAAAATAAAAAAATAAAAAAAATTTATAAAACAAAAAAAAATGTTATCCAAAGAGAGAGATGCATAGTGGGATAACACCACTCCGGAATTTCTTGCCTTGCTCCAATTGGCCAATTTCTAAGCCAATTGAGCAATTTGGGTTTACCGAGGCAAAATAATAGAAATAGTTAATCCCACTTTAAAAAAAAAAAAAAAAAAAAAAAAAATTGTTCATAATTCATTGTACTCGTTTTAGATGAAAATATAATAGAACGGATCGAAATTAACATTTTTGAAAAAAAAAGAATCGGAAGTGAAAAACCTAGTACCAAAAAATAAAAAATGGGAACATAAAAACTTGTCGGTAGAAATTCTCTTCTTTCTTTATTTTATTTTATTCACTTATAATATAAAACTAAATGAAAATATTGATATTGTTTATGTTTTGGGAAACCAATTGAATCTTCATAATTAATTTCAAAAATTAAAATTAAATTATATATAAATCAAAATCGCATATATATATTCCAATATTCTGAAGTTTTAATCTTCATAATTCGAATTAAAAAAATAAAAAAAAATCGAAATTCTCTGATCAAAATCAACAAGATTTGAAAATTTTGATTTCTGAATTATTTTTGTTTTGGAACAAATTTGAATTTAACTTTTTTACTTTAATTTTTTTGATTTTTTTTTCTTCTGGGACAAGAGTTGAAGAAATCAATGTCACAAAACCCATAGAATTCGGATTCTACGCATGGCCCATATGAAATCGGGCCTAAAAAATCATTGAACCTAATGAAAAAATTGAACCCTGATTTGGGTTTTCAATTTAATTATAAAATCCAATTTAATTTACAATGTTGCTTATATCATTCAATATTGCATAAGGTAAACTGAAAATTAAGTAATTTGCTACTAAAGTTTGCATTAAAACACAACTAATTTATTACTCCATCCGATTCCTAATTTTCTTCTGATGTGGTTTCTTCTAGCCATTGGATGAACTTATTGGTAACCTTTTCTTCTTCTTGAATCTTTGAGAGAGAGAGAGAGAGAGAGAGAGAGAGAGAGAGAGAGAGAGAGAGAGAGAGAGAGAGAGAGAGAGAGAGAGAGAGAGAGAGAGAGAGAGAGAGAGAGAGAGAGAGAGAGGGAAGGAGGGAGGGAGGGCATGTGCTGCTTTACACACACTCCAAAAGCCATTTTCTCTCTCTACAGATCGAAACTGTTCGTTCTGTCCACCGTCAAAACTCCGGTGGAAAAATATTGTCTAGTAGCGGATAAAACTCCATAAAATCCGAAGGGCTTCATTCCATATTCTTTCATCTTTGAAAACATCTTCATAGCTCCTTCCATGCATATCTCCTACATTCGATATAGAATGCATTCACCACGGCATTGAAGAAAACCGAATCGGGCTCCATCCCATTTTTGTGGACTCGAGAGAGATTATCGAAGTGTGTGTGTGTGTGTGTGTTCGAAGCATTTTCGAACGGTCAATGAAGCTAAGAGTGTCGTGTTCGTGTATGTTACTAGAGAGGGCGGCCTATGCCCTTGTTGAAAACCGATTGAGTTTCTTGAGGCTTCCTTTTTTCCACAAGAATGTTCATTATCTTCGTTCTTGATCAAACGATTTTACAGCTCTTGTCGCTCGTGCCCTTATATCGACACTTAAATAAATAAATAAAAAAAGAGAGAGAGGAGAAAGGGAGAAATGCATGAGGTGAACTGAAAATTAATTTGTTAGCTAACTTTGGCTATTTTAAATGTTGCCAAAAAAAGATAAATACATTTGTAATATGTAAATAAACTTTGCAACATTTACGTAATTTGCTACTAAAGCTTTGCATTCACACAACGGCCGCCATTAAAACACAACTACTTTATTAATAGAATTTATAAAGTGTGTTTAATTAATAACTATAAATCTATGACCATGATATGTAGTGTTAGGTTAGAATTGACTTTTGAGTTCACTTCTAACTTTTTCTTATTCAAGAAATCAACGACTAATGATATGCACTGACTTAACATATACTCTCGTGTAATAGTTTGCAAATCATACGAGAAACGTAAGATTCGAAATTGGGTCATTCGATATAAGTTATTTTGCTTCAACTGCTAGGTCATTTCTTACGGGACTCACATTCTAATTTCTTTGACAAAGTAAATTGTGCTATTTCGACTCTTAAATTCTCCAATTTCACCATCGTATGTTTGAAAACCTAAAATACTCGTATATCAAATATCTTAAATGCCCTTAGTAATTCATATACCTCAAATAGTGATATACTCCCTATGTCACATATTATTGGTCTCTTTGGAGAAACTTTTTGTTCTAAATTATTCGTCATTTCAGCATTTGAAGAATTCCCTAATTGCATTTCTTCTGTACTGTTCTACCCTTATCATTCTTAATTAGTTAGTTGCAAAACAATCAATAACAAGGAGTATTTTATTACTTACCATATCGTTTTACTATAATCTATACGTATACATATTCGTTGAGTTTCTTACTGTGCACACAATCAACAGAAACGACATATAATATGAGACAACGAACGCATCAATATCTTAAATGCCCCTAGTAATTTGTATTTTTGTGCACATCATTTGTTATATTTAAACTACATTAGTATGTCAAATGTCATTTCTCTTTTTTGACCTTATTGAAACTAATTACTATAATAAAAAAAAAAAGGACAAATTAAATTAAAAGGGCAAAAAGGGAAATAAATTTTGCCTTGGCACAACAGTTAAAACTGCAAAAGCAGGGGAGCTCGCCCCTGATTATTCAATGGCTATTTCTCCATTTCTTCCCATATTTTACTGCATGGATGCTACTATATATTTTCTCATTATTTTACCTTCGTTTTTTCCACTTTTGTACATAAATAACCGTTTTTCTCTACTCTTCTTCACACTTCCACTGCTATTATACATATATTATATATATATACACACACACACATACACACACCCCTACTTCAACGATTTCACAAAATTCCACCCCTCGAAAAACCCACCAATTTTTTAATTGTCTTGATCCAAGAAAAGAAGAAGAGAAATTAAAAAAAAAAAAAAAAAAAACCCATCTTTAATTTTAGGTTTTCTTTCTAGAGTTTTTCATAATCCGATTCGTTTTAGTGTCGGTAATGGGTTTTTATTGATGTATGAATTTTATGGTAGCGAAGATCTTGATTCGGTTTATTCATCCATTTTCTTGGATTTAATTGTCTAATTAGGGCAAAAGTAGTTTAACTCAATCCACAATTTGGGGATTTTTCTTTTGTTTTGTTCTTTGTTATCATCGAAAAGAAATTGTGTTTTAAGATGGATTACACCACTGATTCAGCTCCATATTTGAGGTAATAGTTAATTTTATATTTTTTATTTGCATTTTCCGAAATAAATGTAGTTACCAATTACATTTACATAATTCAAAATGCGAAAAAAATCGCAGTTTATTCGCGGCCGTATCGTACGGAGTTTCGTCAATGGCGATGGTGTTCATCAATAAAGCAGTGCTAATGCAGTATTCGAACTCGATGACTCTTCTTACTTTTCAGGTACACACCGAAACTACACGTGCTTTTATTTGTTTACGGCATTATTCTCGTTTTTTCGATTATCCGACTCGAGTTTTTTTTGTTTTTGTTTATAATCAGCAATTGATGACAACTTTGCTTATACGATTCGGTAGAGTAACGGGGTACACGAAAGCCAGAGGATTTAATATCGAGACCGCGAAAAAGCTTTTATTAGTTTCTTTATTCTACAATGCCAACGTGGCGTTTGCGTTAGCGAGTTTGAAAGGAGTGAATATTCCGATGTATATAGCCATTAAGAGGCTTACGCCGCTTGCTGTACTTATAGCCGGATTCTTTTACGGAAAAGGGAAGCCTACAACTCAGGTTTATAAACATTGCTTTGCTTGTTTATATGTTCGATGAATTAATTTTACCTTCATTATATGTTCGACTTTGCAGATACAGTTGAACCTCTATAAAATTAATACAATCGGGACTAGGGAAATTCTATTAATTTAGCGAATTATTAAATTATCGAGTTAATAATTTAACATATTTTCACCGAGTCGGGACCGCGAGAAACTATTATTTAAGCGAGGTTATTAATTTTTGAGTATTAATTGATCGAGGTTCTACTGTACTAGAAAATAATAAATGATTGGTGTTAATAATATTATTTATATTGTCGAAAGTCGCAATCTGCATTCAACTAGGTTT